ATCAATTGCAAAGCGTTCAGTCTTTTTGAAAGAAAGGCTTATCGACCAAATATACGATTCTTTTTACTTTCAAAAACTCAAAGATACTTCTTTACGAATATTTAAAATATTTCTTGATAGAAGTTGGTCAGTTGATGAATCGAAAGATCATAAGTACAAAAGTAAGTTGATAAGAAACAGGAGTATAACGATTTAAGTAAAAGATAAATAAAATTATTATTAATTTTCCGACTATTAAAATCTTATCCTGAATGGCAATTTTTTTTTGGAAGAAAGACAACTGTAGGCATGTGATCCGATAATAAGTCTTGATGAATTAAAAATTCCGATCTACTAAAATTGGTTAACTCGAAGTCAATAAAAGAGTGAGTCTTTTTATCAATTTCTTGGTGAATTCAAGGCTGCCATAATAATTAGTGTTGGAGTAGCATAAGTTAATGAATACTTGTAGACTTGGAAATTCATTTTTAAGAAAGTGGATATTCAAGTCATTAATTACTAAAACCTAAAGATGGCCTATATTAAAAAGAGGTGGAAAACGGTAGTGTGAGAATCCGATTATAAGATTAATTTAATTTTCAAAATCTAAAATTCGATGTAATATTTCGTCGTTGAATTGCACACTTTTTCATTTTTTGAAAGAAATTTAAGGAGAACAAGGAAGTAAAGTTTCCTTTCCCGAACATTTACTTCCTGAGAAAATTACTATCGTATCTGATGACTAAACTCTTAACTAACTCGTATTCAGTTGACCACAATACGAAATCCTCATTGCAGAAAATTTCTGAATTTAAATGTTTTGCGCGTTTGATTTGAGGTGAATTCGGTTTGTGTCTTGTCTCCTCTGACTTCCTGATCTTTGCCTCGCATACGAATCATCAAGGAAATCAAGATCATTGATTCATTCAGAGATACTATATCAAATTCTATGTAAGCTCTCTCTCTCTTGGTATTTAGAGGTGTACGTTGTTAGTAATCGATATAGCGATAGATTATTCCTTTATGTATTTTTTATTATATTCATTAAACTTTTGTTTGTTATTTGTTAACTGTCTGTTCACTTAGTTGAATATAAAAACGGAAACCTATCGATAAACTTACTACTCTCCCCACTCATACGTTAGTTCAAACATTCCTACTCGGATTTATAATAAATATAAAATCGCGAGACAAAACGCGATAGAACTTTCTTGTCTGGTGTCAGGAATCCTGATTTCACGATCTTTGGTCTTCCTTCAATTTAAATATCATTTTAAGACCACCCACTGACAAAGTGACCGGTTTTTACTGAACAGTATCGATTAAATGTCAATAGTAAATACCCATTGACCCCAGCTTTTCACATTAGTGTAATAAATAAATTTTTGCTCAGCAATCATTAGTGGTATGACGATTTGATGTATTTTAGTCTCTTTGACGAGAAACCTGTAGAAAATCACAATTACAGTAGAGCATCGATTATCCGACTCAATTGGGGACTGGGCAACGTTGGTCAGATAACTGAAAAAACGGCTAACCGAAAAATATGAAAAATTACATTATTAGTATAGTATATTAGTATATACCATGTAATTAGTATAATAGTATATCGCTATTAACCTACTTCACGTTGAATTTTCATCGATGTTAAGCCTAACAAAAATTTTTTAAAATAATAATCGTCGCTATTGTATCGTTAAAAATTAGAAAATTAAGCCTCGTTTAAATACTGGCTCCCTTTCATGGTCGAGCCAGTGTTGCTAGCTAAAACACGTAAAATAATATTAAAGTAGACAAGACATAGCCAAATATTGTAGCGCCACATCACTAGCGGACATTTGAATTTGCCGACTAGAGCGGTCGGTTAACCGATGTGACGGTTAATCGGGGTCGGATAATCGATGCTCTACTGTATTAAATTAATTAATAACTTATAATTCTTAGAAGTGATATCTTTAAGTAAACAATTGAGCTAAGAGTACTTAAAAGAGTATTATAATTTGCAGTTGACAATCTATATACTGTTACATTCAATAACTTCTTTGCAGTAATCGTTAGTGTATTTATGTTATTTCTGCGAAATGTTAATTTTGTAACATGCACATAATGCAAAGTTTTATTAATATGTACTATTATTTCTCCATGTTTATTAAATTCTCTCTCAATCCTTTCAACTTTACAATGTGTAATATTAAATAGTGGATTTACGTTCTTAGTCTAAGACTCCGTTATGGCCACTATATCAAAGAAAATACTTTAATTGCACATTGCATTCAGTACTTCTGTATACTTGTTATTTAAATTTTCTATATTGCAATAGAAAATATAAAAGCATTTTTAAAGTAAATTCTGTTAATTTACTATGTTGACAAAATTTTCTATTGTTTAATAAACGTTCAATCTGTTCTACAGGTAGTAAACGTGTTGGAGAAAGATGGGCATGCTTTTTCAATATACCGTAAATAACACCACAATTTTCCGTGAATTTACTATTTTACCTTGTTTTTTAGCATTCTTGTTTAGTAGAAAAAGTTTCTATAGTACAGTATTGTTTAAGATCACTGACATTTATATAAGTGTTATTTACTTCATTTACAATACCACAGTCTTTAGTATTAAGTTTAAGCTTTTTTAGTATGGTAATATTAATGATTATTTGTTTTATAATAATATTTACGAATTTGACAGCTATTCGTTGAAGTTGTTTTCTTGTTCTCTCTTTTCCCCTACCAGTTTTAACTGGATACACATCTAAAATAAGGGACTTATGGAAAGTCTTATGTACAGTACAAAAAACATAATTTTATTAACTATTTTTAATAAACTTTTGTTATGCCGTATTGGTATCTTAATTATTTCTAAGCTCGAACTATTCCGGCTTTATCATAAATTCTTTATCCGATTTCTCAAAGATTGCAATTCTAGTTTTAACTTCTTATATTACAGAAATGCTTTCCATCATTTAAGCAATTTTTCATGAAATGTGTGGATCGATTGGTGCAATCTTGTGAGAACAAATAAAACATTTTTTCCAATATTATTCAATGAATATATTTATTTGTGAGATCTCTTCCATAAATGCCGCAGTGAAGTATAAAATGTTCATACAGTAGAACCTCGATTATCCGGACTAATTGGGGATGAAGGTAGTCCGGATAAGGAAAAATCCGGATAATCGAAACAAATACTTTAATTTGTCTTTTAATGATAATATAACACGTTTTCTTTTCGATGACATATCCGTAATATTAAAACTAAATACTGTATTTAAATCGTGATCAAATTTTCAAAAAAGAAACATTCGTATTGCATTTGGACTACTACTGACCAACGCTAACAGACTACCTATTGTTTAAAAGGCCCTCTGGTGGCGCAAGAAGACGGATTTTATAAAATAAAATGCAGTTGATACTGCATTTTTATGAATAAAAATTTGACAAACAATTTATCATTTTATGACGAGTAAAATTTTTTCGTCGCGTTCGCGGCTTTTAAGTAATGCGTAAACCTTCGAGGCGCGAGGCCCTTCGAACCGCGAGGCATAGGCGGTGGCCCACGTCATCCATGCCTTACGCCGCCCTTGGTCATAGAAATGATATAATTTGAATATAAATTATTTATAAATACGTATGTCAAATTATATTTTTATTACTACGTAAAATATATTTAAGAGTTTACGACCACTGTGCTGGATGAGGCGTTGTTGAAACAAAAAAGTTATGCTTTCCATCACGTACATAAACTGTCGTAATTCGCCAATTGCAAATCAGCAAATTCGTAAAATTTTTGTTTATTTTGAACAATCCGGATAATCGAAAATCCGGATAATGGAGGTCCGGATAATGGAGGTTCTACTGTATT